CCCCCCTCTTATGCCCCGGCACAAGATTACGTTATGGTTAGACACAATGATCACAACATGCACATACGTAATTCTTTAGTCTAGTAACTCACACAAGTGCAAGAAAAAACTAATGATTGCCAGAAAACATTTTAAAAAAGTTTATCATGCAGACAAAAAATCTGTTCATTTTTTTTACAAATGAAGTGCGTGCGTATTACTAGGGAATACTAAGTATTTCGACATAAATTTTGGGCAAAGACGCCATTTACGATTTGGAACCTTTTATAGCTTATTTCTATCCAGGTATTTACAAACCTTTCTTTACATTACGATTGAAGGTTTCTCCGTAAAACGTACACAAACTGTAATGCCAAGGACATAATGTCCTTGAGTGTACTGAAATTATATACATGTACGTATACAAATATGGACAGTTTAATGTTCACGCTTTCATTCTCGGGTATTACAAGATAGGCGATAATTTCAATTGTTTTTATTTTTTATAGAATGATAGAATGAAGACCTTTATTGTACATTTGTGTTCTACAGAACTAAGTACAGGTCGCATGGGTACAGAACATGAACATAAACATATATACATTACATACATATGAACATATACTAAATAAATGCCTAATTTCTATTATTTTCGGCTTCATCTCGCTTAGTAGTGATTGTATGAATATATGCGGCTGTGAGATTACTTAGAGTAGGTTTATCAAAAGTTAAAAGGAATACAAATTTCTCTTTACTAGTCAAATATCTGAAGTGGGGAAATATACTTAATACATGGCTAAAAATATGAGTCTATCTCTACTATACAAGGGGCAATCTATGGTGAAATGTATTATGATAATTTGATATGGCCACTGTTTATTTTGTACTGTTTGAGCAAAGCCGCGCTTCGCTGGTAGCGGCGTGTGTTGGAAAGGCGATAATGTCAATTGTTTTTATTTTTTTATAATGATAATTTGATATGGCCACTGTTTATTTTGTACTGTTTGAGCAAAGCCGCGCTTCGCTGGTAGCGGCGTGTGTTGGAAAGGCGATAATGTCAATTGTTTTTATTTTTTTATAATGATAATTTGATATGGCCACTGTTTATTTTGTACTGTTTGAGCAAAGCCGCGCTTCGCGTGTGTTGGAAAGTCGATAATTTCCTCTGGTCTATGATGGAAGACCACGGCTCCCTTTTATTTTTCCCAATTCATATATCTCGCAAAATGTCGGCCATTTCATACTCCACTGCACACGGAAAAGAACCCAACAATAACTACAAATGTATATATAAAGTAGCATTAGCATCACTTACTATCATTCTACTGTTTACTGTTGTTATCATGTTCTTGCAATTAGCCCTCGGGCATGAATTTGCAATAAACTTTCAATTTATTGCGTTGTATGAAAATATACTGTTACGACCCTTTTCGATTTTTAGAGCAAGCAATGTGCACCAATTCTCAGTCTTGTTACATGTATACTAGTTGTAAATGATGTGTTTTAAATGATCGAGAAGTAATTCTCCATTTTAAAGGTTTTCTTGACTTGAGTATGTCTCAAGTTTACTGAAGCGAAGCTGGCGTTTACATTAGAGTTTAGCAGAGGGATATATAACATTAATTTTATCCGTATATAAGTTTATAGTTTGTCCTTGTGATTGAAAGGGTGACCGTTTATTAGCTATTGATGTCATAGGAATATAGCAAACTACCGGCTGTTTAGACATACAGATAAAAATGAGAGTCAAGCAACCATATACAAAATGTATTTGACCCCTGAATATTTTTGTTTGTCTATGCATATGATTCCGGCCGCGGCCGGGGTGAGAACAATGAGTATCAAACTCAACAATAGAGGCGGAGCAAGGGCTTGCACAAAAGCCACAGAGTCAGAGCAGGAAAATATGTAAATATTTCAACCAATCACCAGACTGCGGCCTATGGTGACAAGTGTGTCTCCCTATAACCTCCTTGGTGTGATTGGCCAATAAGATTGACATTAGTTAATAATTCATGTCTTGCAACTGGGGAAGGACCCATTTAAGATTTGGATGCCGGTTGAGGCGCTCAGAAGACTGTCAACATGATCAGAGGAAAGCGTGTCCAGAAGAAGAAGTCAGCCTCGAATGAGTCAGCAACTTCGGGACAGCGAAGCTCCTTATACCATTTGAAGAAAAGGTCCACGCGAACGAAACCAGAAGAGCAAAATGACAACGACGCTACTATTGAAGCCACAAACCGTATGGAAAACCTCGCCATTGGGGCCAGACCCGCTGAGATGTTCAAGCCTTCCCAGACTTCCAACATTTTAAGGTAACTCTCAACTTTTAAGTTTATATAATGAATCGCCGGCGGGCCGTGTCGCGTGTAACATGCGCTCGCTTACGGGCGCCCGATTTGTTGTTGATTTTTCCGGCCTTGTCGGCAGTGCTGTGTTAAATGTGAAAACACCAAATTTGTGGCATGCTTTATTACTTGAAATACAACAGAAAGCTAAATGTGTTTGCAACGATCAATCAGATTAGAATGTAGTTTCTCAGTAGGCCAGTTGTCAGACATGTTTGAGACTACAGCAAGCGGGCGCACACTGGATTCGCCGGCGGACCGGTCGTATGTCGGCTAAGTTAAAATATATTTATTGCACAAGGTTTTGGTAGCTTGTTTAGTAATATTCAGCAGTAGGATATATGACAGTCTTGTTCTTAGTTATTGTTCTTGATCAAATCACAATGATTTACGGCGTAACAGGCATGACCGGTCAACCTATTTACCGGAAAGGACCGGAAAGCACGTATAAGTTTAATATGTTATGGGTAAATTTTAGTACAGCAAACTGCGATGTTGAAGTATAAAAGAACTTTTTATTTCGATACATTTCACTTCTCTGCCGTAATTGCACTAAAGTACTCTCCAAGCAGAGGTTGAATGGGAAGATTGTGACCTTTTTCTATGCCCTGTTTTTTTTCTGGCTGCCGGCTACTGTCGGCCGGCTGGATACTGTCCGCGTGTTGGATACTAGTACTATCTTTAGCCACCAAAAGATCTGCTTGGACATTAGCACTTAAGAAACATACGCTATGTAAACAACATGGCGACTGGCCGCGTTTGTCGGCTCTGCCGACTGTCGGGACCCGATAGTTGCCGATTCATAGTGATTTTTTGTTCTCTGTGCCACGCATACATGTACGTTATACCATGGTCAAAATAAAGCAAACTGCGATACTGAAGTGCAAAAGAACTTTTATTTTGGTACATTTCACTTCTCTTCTGTGATCGCGCTAAACAAACATATTGCGTTACGCTATGTAAACAAACATGTCGACTGGTCGGGCCGCCTCCGTTTGCCGATTCAGTATTTAAGTGATTTCTTGTTCCCTGGGCTACGTATAAGTTATCTTATGCCAAAATACAGCGATTTGGGCTGTTATCTCATCAATCAGGCTCCATCAATGCAGGGTGTATTCCGGTAGATTTAAGCCTCCTATATGTGCTTTCCGGTCCTTTCCTGTAAATAGGCGAACCCGGCATGACCACCGTTTTACTAAGTATATGGCCATGTTATATGATATATGATATGGGTATGTAACCTAAACTTGGTGCGTATCGTTTCAGACTTCCTGGGGGAGTTGACCAGGCATATGCGTATGCTCGAAACATCAGACTGAATAAGCGCTGCTTCAAGCTCGCAACGGACTCGTGCTACGCCTTTCCCAACTGGAACGAGGAACTGATGCATCTGCTGCACAACTATGTGCTTGTGGAGGCAAAACGCTACAGCACGACAAGTGAAGACAGCTGCGACATCCTGTATCTGTGCAACTGTGCAGAGGGCGAAGTTCACCGAGAACGCTTGATTCAAATTGATACAGTAAGTGAAATGAAATTATAGATATAATAGTAACTTTGTTGCCACATGTTTGTATCGTTTCGCACTATACCTGCGAATCAGCGGTTCGAAACAACGGCCTGTTTTATCTTTTTTTTTTTAAACTCAGTTGTTCTGGAAAGAAAAAATACAAACAACTAACCCACTCCGATTGTGGGGATACTGAGGGCTCATTATGCGCTGTCTATGGAAATGATTACAAATTATGAGCGAAAAATAAACGTTTTCTTATAAAATTAGAAATATTGAAGTACTATTCTAGTTTGATTGCGTATACCCATAATTTCTAGCTGTAAGGAATAAACTTTTTACACGGCCACCGACGACCCTCCTATGAATGAGATCTTTCCGTGACCTCCCGGGTCAACGTAACGAGTCCGGCGCCGGAATTAGTGAGATTCAAAAAAGGAGCCGGGAAATCGTCAAGAATACGTCTCACTAGGTTTCAGACTTGCAAATGATTCTCTGACAGAAAGGCATGATTTTGACTGACATCAATATGATATTATGGGGATATATTATGGGAAAATTTTGGGCAATGGGATTGTCCAACCCTGACTATACAAAATCCTGGGTTATAGTTAATGCTTTTAGGTCATGCTTGCACACACACTGACAGTGTATCATGAAAAACCATGTTCCAGGTGGAAGATCTATCAAGGTTAAAGCAGTGCGAGGAAGCCAACTACTGTCTCCATGCCAAGGCCGCTGCACAACTGAAGCTCCATTCCTTTGAAGATGAGGAGGATGCAGACGTCGTGCAGCAGATTTCAACTGTACCCTTTCTAGCCGCAGCGCATGATGGGGATAGATACGGTTAGTTCTGTATCCGTATAGC